ACTTCATAGCTAACTTGGCTATATTGAATCAATGTACAAGTTCCTTATTGGCTTTTTATTGCAGGTAAAATTGACAGAGAAAATCACTAGGATATACTTAAAAATGGGAAGGAAATGTACGTTTACAATAAAAAGGTCTCTGAAGGTCTCTTGTTTCATAGGAAGGAAGCTGTCGTTATATTGCATGAACTATAAAAAATGATTAAAACTGAAGAGAGACAGGAAGCTGATAATTTGATTTATCATCTTAATGGCTATGATTCATGAATAAATAATATAATGGTTTATGTCTCTCTTGTAAAAGAAGTAGAGAAGAGCAATTTGTCTAATAAATGACTTCAGAAATTACAGCTGAGTCTTGTTTGCCACATTTGTTCTATTTAAAAAGAATGAGCGAGTATCTTATTTCTTATTACTTACTAGGACATTTGTTGTATTATTTATAAGAGTCAAAAACCTTAACTAAAAGCCACTCATCTCTGACCACAGTCTCCCATTAGCTTTAAATTCAGGAAAGAGAAAGGGATTGATCACTAGATCAATAAATCTAACCTTAGAGATGACTAAAAGCTTCCTTTAACCTCCTTCCTCCAGCATCCTTTTTCAAAATTAAAGTATCCCCCTTTTTAATTATTTAAGAGCATGTCAATTTTACAGTAAGGCCATGTATGACTGCATCATACAAGGATTTCTTCTTCCTATTGGAAACACACCAGCGGCTTTAAAAGGAAAGCATTTAAATCATCATCGCTCCTTTATTTTATTTTTTTTCAGGTTGGATATGCTACTATAGATACACACATCCTGTTCCAGACGTGCCCTGGATCTCACCAAGATCTCACAAGTGCTGAGAATGGGAAAAATCGAGAAGAAATGTGGAATCCCAATTATGGGATGCAGCAACTGCCCCAAATCTATCCACAATTCCGATGGAGCTGAAGTATTGACCGCCCTGAGCCCACAACTGCATTACTCTAGAGCTGCAAAAAGTCACTTCAGGCAAAAGCAAACTCCAGAGAACATCATTCTTGGAAAGAGTGTTTAATTTTTTTAAAACCATTCTGTAAAAATAACTTGTATTTGTAGTTTGCCCAGCGTGCATCGAGACCTTGACCTCCCCCCCCAACCCTTATATCAAAATAGTTTATCAAAATCAGATCTTTTTTTCTTACCAGCAGCTGTTCACACCAATTTCCCCTGTAGACCCAATTCTGGATGCAAAGCTGGCTGGGGAGCCCAAAACTGGGGGGGTTGTGGCCAGGGTCACTTCTGGATTATGTCCTTGCTCAGCCACTGACCTGCTCCATGGTCTTTTTCCATACATCTCCGTACCTCTCCTTGCTCCACATTTAATCTTCATCCTGAAGAACTTGGAATCTCTGTCTTGCAAGAGCTTGGGCTTAGAAAATGGAAGTTCTTACCCTGTTTCTGAGGCTGATTTTTTAGAGGGCTTCAACACTGAACTTCAAGACATGGTTATCCTTGGATCGCACGTGAGATGCGAGGTGTTATATAGTATTATTGGAGTGAGCAGCACCCATAAGACTGTTAATGCAGCAGGAGGAAAACTTTAGGATGATAATTCTTGGCATATTGTAAACCCAGTTAATTTCTACCAGGCTTATTTAAAAAACAAAAAAAAAGGACAAAAACAAGAAAAAAGGGGGACATGGATTTCAGCAAAATAGACCTTTTGAGTTGTCATGTTTCATAAAAAAAATGTATATGTCGTGAAATGGATCTTTTTCTCCCAGACTGCACACGGACACACCACTCACATCATTAGCTACAAATGTCACACAGGCAAGATCTGCGCAAATAAACCAACAAAAAACAGGGGGAACTTCCACAAAACACCATCCATCAAGATCGTCTACGTATGATTTCTCTAAATAAATGCAATTAACTGGTCTCCAGTCCAAAGGCACTATTTTTATGCCTTATTTTTATGCCTTATTTTTATGCCTTCTTCCCCCAACCGCTATATTATATAGGTCTCCTAAAACTGGAGTACTCAAGACATTTTTGGGGTAAGTGATGCATCAACAAATGTCAAAGCAACGTAGGCTGCATCCAGAACAGCGCTGAAAATCCAGCACTTTGGGGAACTCCACCCCAAAAAAGGTTCTTTCACAGCCTTTCATTTAGAAGGGACAGAATCTTCCCTGATTTTGAGAGACGGTGGCCTTCACTAATTCCCAAAGCAAGTAGTAGGACTTTTGGTCAAAATCTATTTTTTGTGGTCTTGCGACAAAAATGACGCTAATGCTGATCTCTATCTAAAATTATGAGCTTTTTGCCCTAGTTAGGAGTTTCTGAAAGAGAATTTGAATGAAGCAGGCTGCAAATACACCTGACGTCGCTCTGTGAAATCAGATTTTTGAAGCAGATACTATCGCCTCGTCCTGCAGCCACACAAATCATAGAATCATCTAGGTCGGAAGGGACCTTTGATGGGCAGAGTGTAAAAGAAGAGAGCTAAGATGATCCCTGCTGCTCGCTCACTTTCCATTCGGAAAATGACAGTGACAGGTAGAGGGAAAAATAGATTCACTGGTATGAAGCTGTCCTTGGAAAAAGACAGTTGATGCAAAAGGAAATGTCAGTTGAATGGAAGCAGCACGAAGAGATTACCAAAAAAAAAAAAAAAAAGGGTAATATTTCTGGCATCAGTCATACAATTATCATTTGCATATGGAGGAGGGAGAATCTCAGCTGGTATAAGCTGTTATAAGAGTATCAATAAAGCTCTGCTGATTTATAGCAGCTGAGAGCTTGTCCTGCAGCGTATTCATCCATGTGCGATGCCATAGATTGATGCGTTTGCATTTTCTCCCTGGAGACTTTGGTTCAAAACCTATTTAAAACACAGTGAAAACAAACGGGCTGGTCTCTAAGCAGATGTCCCTGGAAATCTCTTCACATCATCACAGTGACAGCAGTTTAGTGGAAAGGGTATTCTCTGCTCGGGAAGCTGAGAGGGGGGGAAAGGGCAGGGCAGCAGGTCCCTGGTGGAGTTGCACAGCAAAGCTTTCTTGTAAGAAACTCTGCTTGCAGGGGAGGTTTGATGCCCCCAAATCCGTAGGGTTCTGTACAAGGTGAAGTTAAAAGATTCAAATAGAAATATTGCTTAGTCGTGGCCTACAATCAGGGAGCGAGACTCAGGAGTAACTGCTGATTTTTGATAAGATCTTTTGCACGCATGAAATCAAGCACGTTTGTAACATGCAGGCTCATTCATCTCTCTGACGAGGAGAGGCTGAGGGACTTGGGTCTTTTTAGTCTGGAGAAGAGAAGGCTGAGGGGGGATCTGATCAAGGCACATAAATACTTAAAGGGTGGATGTCAGGAGGATGGGGCCAGTCTTTTTTCAGTGGTGGCCAGGGACAGGTCAAGAAGTAACAGGCACAAACATAAGAAGTTCCATCTAAACATGAGGAGGAACTTCTGTCCTTTGAGGGTGGCAGAGCCCTGGAAGAGGCTGCCCAGAGAGGTGGTGGAGTCTCCTTCTCTGGGGCTTGGAACAGATGGTCTCCAGAGGTCCCTTCCAACTCCATATCATTCTGGGATTCTGGGGGTGTCTCAGTTTCAAAAGCATTTCAAGGGGATACCAATGCTCCCTGCGATCAAAGGAGAGGAAACAGTGGGGTCATTGTATTACAATTAATTACATCATCTCACATACTTTTTGGCAGAGTGGTTCTGGGCCCAGTTTTGCAAGAGGAGATAAAGCACCCAGGAGAGAAGACAACAGGGACTGCTGACCCTCCCCGAGGCCGGCCTGGAAAGCAACAGAAAACCCAGCTCCGCTGAGTCTGGCTGGGATTGCACCAGTAATTCAGCCACAGATCTGCCTCTCCATGAAATGTAAGTAATGCTTTTAGGAGCATTATCCATGCGTGGTTTTCCCGTACATGGAATTTGGCAGGCGGCCACTCGACCAAATGCTTCACATTGCAAGAAAGAGCTGCAGACTGGGGTGTTTTGGTTTTGTTTTGTTTTTTTTTTTTTTTTAAAAAACTATACTTATTAAAAAAAACAACCCTCCTACTAACAAAGTAAGAAAGTTACTCGTCATCACCTCAGGATCAACCGTGCAAGATCAGATAGTTTAATATGCAGATTTTTAGGTAAATATCTTCCTTTTCAGCCTCCCCCTCCATGCCTGGATGTTTCAGAAGCAGCAGCTCCGTTAGTGAAAACTGGGTATTTAATATAATGAAATACTAACATAGAAATAGAGTTACCAAATCCAAGTCCCATCTATCATAAGTAACTGTATCATCATCCCTTCCAGACACTGATCAAATCCCAGTTTATGAGCAGTTTGCTTTTTACTGCTATTATACAAAATGAAAAGTTGTTCCAGAGCCCCCGCTGCTCTGATGATGATAAGCCTTCCTCCCTTCCCAAAATCCTTTCGCGACCAGTTTATACACGTCTGTCCCTGTCCCGAGTGTCACCCTTAACTTGAATTGTTTTTCCCCTCCCTGGTGTTTAGTCCCCTGATGTATTTATAGAAAGATCATATCCTCTTTCAAACTTCATTTTGCTAGGAATAGTAATGTTAGAAATAGACTGATGAATTTACTCTATTCGATAGGGAGGGACAGACATACACACACGCACACGGAGGGTAGGGCACTCGTTTTAAAAGAAATGCAGAAAATACAGATGAGTCAATCTTTAGTTAACAGTGCGTTATTTCAAACATGTCAGCAACACATGTAAATTACAATATAAAAGACAGATCAAGTTCAAAACTGATTTTTAGGGGATTCGGATTTAAAGACTACCCATCTACAGAAATATCAGAAAGTCTACCTGAAATTCTGTAAAACTCTAATTTGGGAACAGTACCAAAAGCCCACAATGAATATCATTTCTAAAAAACAGAGCTGGGAAGACTCAAAGTACATTTGGATAAAAAAGCCTTAGACAGAGGCTAGTTTGGGGGTTAAATAATCTGCAGAAAAAGGAAAAAATTTGGATAAAAAAGCCTTAGACAGAGGCTAGTTTGGGGGTCAAATAATCTGCAGAAAAAGGAAAAAAAAATCAAATTGCTATGAAAATAACAAACTAGATGGAAGAAAGACCGAACATACTATTTGTCTGTTTCGAGACAATTTCATTCTTTCATAAAAATATTCTCTAGCTTTGCTGCTCTGGTACATCAATCCTGAGTACTCGAACTTTCGACTTATAATGATATTCCTTCAGATAGAGCTTCACTGAGGGAGGGATGGGAAGTGCATCGATACCATCGTACGTTGTGGAGTTACAAATAACCGTTCGACAGATATGCTGGAGAGAGAAAGGAAAAGTCCTGTTTAGAGGAGTGGACAAAAGCGGTTCAAAGAACATACAGGAACTCGGATCTTTGTAATGCTCTAGGAGCCCCGTGATGTCAGGAGAATGGAAGACACAAGGATCATGGGCATCAAAGCTGAAGTTGTGGTTCCACTGCTCTATCCGCGCGTGGAGGGACCGACTGTAGCGCCTGAAGCTCACAGAAAACAAATAGTCTTCTTGGGCAGAATCTCGTAACAAAAATGTTCCCTCTGGTTTTCCTTCCAGCAGGGCCTCAGCTGCGTATTTATCCATGACTCCCCAGTAGCAGGGATTGTTATTGATCTGGAGGAGGTCTGGGACCAGGCAGTGGACATAATCGATCTGCGTATGGTATTTGGGAGGCGTTTCCATCCTTAGCAGCTCATCATCCGTTTCCCATTTGGGCTTGTTTCTTTTTCTAGAACTTGTGCACAGTGTTATGACTTCGTCGTCGGAGTCCATATCGCTCTCATCTTTACTGCTCCTCCCCACCTTACCCGTGGCCAACTCACACCTCGAATCGCCCCTCGAGGAACCGCTGTCGGTGAAGTCGCAGGACTGAGAGGGAGAGTCCGCTCCCCCGTTGGCAAGCTCATCGTCTCGCAGCTGATCCTCCCGTCGGAGTCCATATCGCTCTCATCTTTACTGCTCCTCCCCACCTTACCCGTGGCCAACTCACACCTCGAATCGCCCCTCGAGGAACCGCTGTCGGTGAAGTCGCAGGACTGAGAGGGAGAGTCCGCTCCCCCGTTGGCAAGCTCGTCGTCTCGCAGCTGATCCTCCCTTTCCTCATGCTGGGATAAATCAGCAATTATCCAGTCTTCCGCTTTCGGACTTATAGGGGCCGTATGTCTTTTGATCAAGTGCCACCGAAAAGCCAGCTCTGAGCGGGGAGGGAAAGGACACTTATCCAGCATTAACTCGCTGATATGAATTTTTCTCTTCGATGGCAGTCCCGAGGCGTGCCGGCTGCTGCAGTTCTTGATGGGGAAGCACTGCCCCACGGCGTCTTGCAGCTTCTGTTTGAGAGAGCGGCCTAAAAACCTGTGGCCGCAGGAACGGTCCAGATCCAGCTCGATAGAGGAGCAGCTGCATTTCCTCTCCTGGCTCCTTAAACTGCTCCCTGATCTTCCTGCAGCGCTTGCTGTTTCAGCATCAGAACCCTGCTCGCTCTTCTTGGACCAGGAGAGCTTCTTGCCGCTCCAGACGTAACCATCCTTTCTGTCCGCGCTCCTGCTCCGGCTGCTTTTGGGTCTCACATCCGCGTTTTTAAGGTTACTGTCCTTATTTTCTGCCATTTTGACAGCTTGGCTTCACGGGTTGCCAGAAAGCGCGCGGTGTTTCTTGTAGGGGTTTGTTGTTTTTTTTTTTTCTTTTTTACATACGGAAGCTTCCTCGAGGCACTTTCTGGAAATATCTAAGGAAAAAGAAAAGAAAGCCAAGTTAACAGTTACGCACGCACACAGCACAACAGCAACGCAGGTGTAGACAGGACAACAGTGACAATTAAGTGCTAATCATGTAAAAATAATACGATCCAGCTGAATTCACTGGTAGACCCCATAAATACCGGCCTGATGCCAGACAAGGCTCTCTTAACCCTTCCTTGGGAAAAGCATCCTCCAGAATAAACCATCTGAGGTGGTTTTAGGGGATCCATTCTGACCACGCAGCAGAAGAGGCAGGTTGAGGTGTTGACAATCCTACAGTGCTAGGGTCTGTTTTAAGGGGAAGCACTTCACGTGGCAGGTGATGCTGCTTTAGCTGTTTATTGAGCAAATTCTGCATCTCTTCCAAATAACCTTTCAAGAAGGAATGAGGGAGGAACAGAAACAACTAGGTCACAGCACAAAGAGCTACTGTACCTAGATGATATGCCTGTTTGCTACTAATCCACAGGGTGGGATGCCAGAGATCTGTTTCTTAACTGACACTTTTGGGTCACTTTCTGGATTTAAAAAAAAAAATTAAAAAATTATATCAGTCACCTTTTGGGTCACTTTCTGGATTTAAAAAAAAAAAATAAAAAAATTATATCAGTCATAGATTCTGTCAATTTCTGAAAGCTGTTTTCCTCTGCCTTTTAAAACTGAGCTAGAAAATACTGAGCCCCTAAGGGATTGAAATATCTGGGGCTTTACATACTGAAAAGGATTAAACCAAATCCAGTCCCTCACTAAAAGCAATTTTAAAAGGCCGTGAAAGATGGAACTGCTTATTACTCATTAGAGAAGAAAGTTTACATTATTAAAATCAGTATTGCTCTGAGACCTACGGTTGCTGATTTCATTCTCTTTTGTTTCCGAAAGTGTATTGAATTCTCAAATAGATAAGAGGTTTCCTTTTGAATGTCGTGCTTTGAAAAAGGAAAAAAAAATATATTAAAAAATCCTCCTTTGATTACTGAGTTGAAAGTAGAGCAGAATTTTTTCAAGATACATAGATAGCACTGTGTTACGTATGCTACACTCTCCCGAGGCATGGCAGAATGTGGAAATACTTCCCAGCACGTACCATGAGGCTTTGGCACCAAAAGGATGTACAGCTCCTCTATTCCGCTGCTTTTTTTTTTGGCTGTCAATTTTTTTTTTGTTTCTTCTTTTTTTTTTTTAAAAAAAACCTAATTGATGGGGTAAATATTAAGCAAGAAAAAAAGAAAAGGGCATCCACTTCCTCCTCTCTCCATTCAATCCATTCTCATCAGTGGGATTAGCCAGCGTGACACAACCTCTCTGCCGTCCCCCGGGGCTGCGCAGGCTGAGCTCCAGCCTCTGCTTTCAGTAAAAGCAGCAGATCCCTGTGCCAAAAGGCTTACGTGGGATCCACGGGCCAAACGCAGCCCAGACAGAACTCTCACCCAGGAATTTTTTGACGTTGCGTTCCTTACTTACAACCCACAGACCTGGGGGAAAAAAAAAAAAAGGAGGGCAAGGGAGGAGATGGAGAAACGTGGAGCGAGGGTAAGACAGGTAAAATATTGCAAATAAGTGGGGGAAAATAATGGTATTAGAGCAATCTGGATGAATGGCACCTCATTGGTACAAAGCGGAATCAGAGAAGGGGGTTCACATTCCAGCAATTACAGACTAAATACTGAAATAGATTTATTTTTCTTCTCTCAGGATTCTGCAAACCACTTCTCTGGTGAAAATGCTGCAGGATGCAATGCAGGTAGGGGAAAGGCAACGTTTGTATATGAGACCCGAAACACCTTTGTTTAGACCAAGATTCATTGATTGCTTTTGCAACACTTGTATTTTCCATCCAGAAACAAACTAAATTGCTTCTTTTCCTCTTTTTCAGTTGTGGAGAAAATTCAGTGCACCAATCTCATTTACCCTGGTTATAATCTGAAGACAAAAAGTTATTCTAGATTCATCCTGTGGTAAAATGCATTAACTCTCTATAAATGGGATTTTTAATTGGACAGAGAGGCATCATTGAGGTTGCAAAGTCAAGTACATAAAAACTAAGATACGACAGTTTTGAAAAACTTAGTTATCTCATTCTGCATATCCAGCCCATATACAAAATAAGAATATAGAGATATATGGGCTTTTAATTAAAAACAGCAAAACATACCAAACCCAGAAGCTCTGAAAACGCCTGTTATCTCCTAACTTCAGCCTTGCAACTGAAATAATTCCAGTGTTTTACGTTTATTTCTGGATGGTTGTTGCATTTAACTGTAAAGCCAGCCTTCTACTTTGTACCTTTCTCCCATGGTGAATCGCTAGTGGTACCTGAACCCTGAAGTGGAGAAAGAGCACGTGATGCTGTGCGACACGCACCATTAGCCAGCGGCACGGAGAGCTCTTTCCCTGGGGTCTGAAGGCTGCTGGAGCCCAGGCGCCAATTCTGCCACGTCAGAGCACTAATTGTTAATCAGACATAACGCCGGGGCCGCAAAAAGAGCAACGGAACAAACGGAGAAAAAGGGATGTCGTCCTACTAAAGCCAGGTTTGGACTCGACCTTGCCAAGGCAGAAATAAAAGGTGGTTTTGGGTGGTCGGGTTGCAATTCGGGAGACAAAACGGGGACCGAAAATAATTCGGGTGTGGGAATGAAAAGGGCATAAAGGGCAGCGAGGTGGTCAGTGCTGCATCACTGCTCCAGGCTATCCACCTAAACCAGCTACTCCTTGCACTGCAAACGGCCGAGGGAAACGCCGTGCATCCATTAACGGAGAGAGCGGGAGAGGAGGATGGGGACAAAAGAGAGGGAAGCCAGAGTGTACTTTTCCCTACAGGGCAAGGTTAAATGGAGGAGCCCAGCGCTGCGCCGCTTACGCGCCTCGGTTCCGAGATCCCTTTGGTAGATATATTTAGCTTCCTGCCTACAAAAGCCGCCTTCTACAGGGGGATACCTTGGGCATCTCAAAACCAGGCAGATTGGACAAAACCTTTCCACTTTAAAAAGCTTCCCCCTAAGCCAATGGCAAAGGGGAGAGCAACACGCAGGGATAAAGCTGAGTTCACTCGGGGCCACAGGATCCGGCTTGTAGTTCAAGGTTATCCAACGCTGTCAGGGCTCACAGTCCCCGAGGACACGCAGAGCCCTGGGTGGGTTTTGTTGTTGTTTTTACAATGTGCACAGCTCCCTCCTTCAGAGGCCACGTCCCTCGCCGGGCTGCAGGGGCAGGGGGTGCAGGCGGCTGCACAAGATGCTTTTTCTTTCAGGCGCTGATGCCTCAACACCAAAACTTCAAGCCCAAACTAAAAGCAATGTCTAGCAGTTCTCTGGAGGCATTACCAACTCTACCTCCTAGCCAGGGGTAGGCTGCAATCAACAACTGAGAGAAGACAGTTGCAGCCTCACCATGTGTCTAATTAAATCAGTAGCAAACACCCAATAACTCCAACGGGAGAATCAAAACCATAAGCGTAGACAGACCTTTTAAAAATTTATTTAATAGATACTGAATTGCTTTCACTAGATATTTATGTCCTGAGCTGCCAGACCCTTGCCTCCAGCCCAGTACCTCCAAATCTTCTTCATCAAGCTGCTTCCCTTTTGGTGTAACAAAGCAGCAAAATCCTGAATGTAAGATGAGCAAAGCACCGTCTGAAGCAGACACGGGGGTCTCCAGCCCACCTTCTCCCCCCTGGCTCGGGGAGGCACAGCATGGTCCAGCCACGTCCCAAAAACCTCCGGGGATGGAGGTGCCACCACCTCTCCAGTGCTCCCAGTCTGCACGGCCCTTCCAGGAAATACTTTGCAAGTTTTCTGTCCAAGCAGACAAAAGCCAAAGCATCGCTGTGTTACGCCTCTAATTAAACATGAAAAGGAGATTCGCACAAAGAACAATAAATCAATTTTGGAACTGTTACAGAAGTCGATATTCAGGATTTTATCAGCTCTAGAAGAGAGAGAAGAGCAAGCCAGAATAAACTGGAGTACTTATTCTTTTTTTCTTTCAACTTACATAAAAGTTATTTGAAAAAATTCTCACCGGTCACATGGTGTTTTCATTAATTTTGCCCAATTAGATTTTGGCCACAAGACGGCATTTTAAAACCTGACCTTCCATTGAAGTTGAGCTGTTACTGACTTATTTTGGAGAAAAGCCCAACCTATTAAGGATAACATTAAGTCTCAATTCCTCCGTCTTAACTCATTTTTCTTCAGTTTTGACTATGTTTATTTTGATTTATGATACCATCCAAAAATACCTACGCTTGGCCGCAGAGGCCTTTCCAGCAAATTAAAGCAATTATCACACAGAGAGAGAGAAGAAAGTGACCATTTAAGGATACCAACGATAACCTACAACGCTTCTTAGCTGGAAATATCCTTAATTTGTCCTGGCTCTGTGTAACCCCAGAAATATAGGAGGATAAACAACACTGGGGCTATTTTATTCTCACCCAGGAGGTGGAAGCGATCTGGAAGCAGGTGCCAAAAGGTGAGGGCTGCTCGGATCTCCAGCTTTAATGAAACTCTGCTCGTGTGCCTGAAGGAGAGACGCAGGCAGCGCTTGGCAGAGTGCAGCAGCAGCAGCACTAAATCAGTGGAAGCTTGATGGTCCATGACCAACACTTCGTGCTCCACCCAGAAACCCATGAGGAGAGCGAGCAGCTCCGCTGGCAGCCTCTTACACACCTCTTCATCAACCCAGCAGCAGGTTGAGTTCCTGACTGGATTGAAAGGATAACCTCGCATTCCACGCCGTGCCGCTTCGCCTGTGACAAAGCCAAGTGACCCTGGGATCCCTCAACATCCCCCTCCCCAGAAAAATCCTCCCTCCCCACCCCAGTTTTCCTATGCTGTTCTAAGAGTTACGCCAGCAGGCAGCACCTCCAGACAATCAATTTGGTCGTTATATAGAACTGAAATTAGAACAGCTTTTATACTGTGAAATATTTCAGGTGCGGTGCGTGTTAAGAGTTTCCGCGCATTAAAATAATAAATAAAAATAATGGCAGCTGACATGCATTTGCCTCCGTCCCGGGTTGCAATAAGGCTGCTGTAAGAATAGCTTGGGCTTCCCACTCATCTGATAAGCACTTCGGCTTGAAACGTTTTGCTAGAACACGTTACCCTCACCAGAAATCACGATTTACTGAAACATGTCAGGATTACACCCATGGAAAACATGTCTCTCCGCACGGCTTCCACAAGGTTTAATAATGAAATCTGGGCTTTTTTTTCTTGTTTGTTTGTTTGGTTTTTTTCTTAAAGAAGCGTGCCTGCTTTGTAATCCTGTCACTTACTCATTCATGAAAGTACCAAGAGTGTGGCTGTTAGAGAGAGCCCCACCGCATTTCCAATGGAAATAAATCACTCTGCTCACCCCAATCACCCGTAACTCCCAAGATAAAAGGGGTCTGCCTGGAAGCAATTTTTTCTTAGAAGCAGGAATAACCCGGGCCAGATCATTAAAGCCATACATAATGGTAACACAGAGAACTCTGATTTTTTTTTTTCCTCCCTATTTCAGGTATGTCGAGGTCTAACATTTTTTTTTTGCCCTTCAAGAAATAAACCACGACGTTTTCTTCTTATTTTTTTCTTCCTGGCGCAGGAGAGCTTAATGATTTTTGCAACGCCATCGCTACCTGCCCGACTACAACTGCATCCAGCACGGGCATCGGGGTGGCTATAATTACGGAGTAATTCCCTAATTACCGTAACGATCGCCAAATGGGCTTGATCCTGCTTTGCTCGGGCGCCCGAGAGGGCTCCCCAGCCCCCCCCCCGACCCCGCTCTCAGGGGGATTTGGGATAAACCCCTCGTTTCCTTGCCATTCTGGAGGGATTGCCATTAAACAGACGGAGGTAAGTATATAGAATAAACACATACACACTCTATACGTTGAGATATGTACAGGGGGAATGCACCCACGCGCAGTTTTCCACAGGAAAAGCGAGCCCCCCCACGGAGGACGGAGCCTCCCCCCGCTGACCGGGCCGCTGACACCGCCTCAGCCCTCCCGGCTCTCCCCGACCCCCACTTACGATGGGCCGATGGCGCTGCCCTTCCCCCGGGGGGAAGGAAGCTTCTCCCTCAGCGGCCGGGCAGGGCCGCCTGACCCTCCGTGCAGGAGGAGGAGGAGGAGGAAGAAGGGAGAAGAAGGCCGTCGGTGTGCGGGCAGTCGGAGCGAGGCGGCGCGGAGCCCGGCTCCCCTCAGCCACCGGAGCGGAGTCGCTGTGAGGCGGCCGCGCCTCCCTCCACCTCCACCGCCGCCGCCATCCTGGCTCTCCCGGCCGGCCGGGGCCAGCC